CCTATTTATCTCTGCCAGATGGTGCTAAAATACTAGTCTGGAGCACATGTTGCTTCTATTCAACCAAATGCTTGTGCCATGCTGTGGCCTCTCTGCCTCTGAACCAATGAGCCTGAGCCAGCAAAATCCCAGCGGCAAAGGCCCCGGCAGCCCTTGGCTAAGCCCCTCTCCATGGCTTGTAGAAAATCAGAGAAATCAAATGAGGAAGGCTCACAGCCCTGTGAGGGCAGACAATAGCGTGCAGGAAAGGGAGGAAGGGGTTAAAAAGGATTTAGCACACACACAAAGTAAATATTTGAGGCAAAATTGTAGCAAGAAAGAATAATGGAGAGAGAAAGGCAGGAGGAGGAAGCAAGAAGTGTAAAGAGAAGAAAAAGGAGGATTATATTCTGCCAGAAAACAAAGGGATGGTTGTATGAGAAAAGCATTGGCGAAGCATTGGGGAAATGAGGGTTCAGCTCTGCACAAACTTTCTGTCTGACACTGGACAAGTCAATCTCTCTGTGTCTCAACTGCAAAGGCTACAATGGGAATAATAACGTCTCCTTTGTTCTGCCTCTCTCTGCTCACATCAGACGTCCCTTCTGTTTGTATGTTGTAGAAGGCCGAGATGCTACCTTATTGCAAACAAACATAGAATCCACTGAGACTTTGAGGGGGAAAAAAAAGAGGTAGGAAGGCAAATAGGCTATGATAAACCTAGAAGATAAGTGCTCCAAAAACCGCGGTTGGGGGAAGAAATATAGGAGAGGCCTTTACTGAGGGAAGAAGAAAGAAACAATATGGACCAGATTAATCCTAGTGTTGCCTCCTGGACTCCAGTAGAGTTCCTCGAGGGATGGGTTTAGCCCAAGGAGTTCAGTTTTGTTTGGTTAAAGAAACTTCATGCCAAAGTTTTTAAATAGTCAAATCTGTTCTGAGAACTATGAGAATGTGGGCTGCCTTTCCTCAAACATTGCATGGGACTTGGGATGAACAACTCCCGCTGAAGGCATCAGGAGCCAAGTGATTAAGCCCCATGCAGTGCTCTGACAGGAGGCCTTCTTCTTGCCTACGCATACTTTTTTTTAAGTATAGAAAGTATTTCCATATTTCCAGCAGCTGATCTTTATTTGAAGCCAAGAGCTGCATTTTTCAGATTAGAACTGAAGCTTTTCTAGGAAAAGCCACTCTGGAGTAGACCATTGGTCCATCTAGCCCAAGACAGTGTCTCCAACAGAGGCCCTGCACTCTGCTTAGAGAAAGAAATCTTAAAGCCTGCAGGGCTCTCTCCAGGGATAATTTATATTTCACTCCAAGAGTTAGAGTTTGGCTTTCACGCCAAAGTCTGTAGGCTTATATTCCTTCCAAAACTCTTGCTTATTTTATAATCTTTACAGTTCCCTGGAGACATTTGATGTTTGCAGATCTATATCCCGTTTGGGAAGCCCCTTGAGCTGCTGACCTCCACGTCCTGCGGCAGCAAGTTCCTCCAGCCAAGTGGGGCATTTGTGCAGGGAAAAAAAGAATTTTCTTTTCTCAATTTCAGGTTTGCTGCGTTTAATGTGGAAGCGTGCCTGAAGCTTCCCATCTTGCCCAGCTGACTTCTCATTACAGCGTCTCACCTAAGACTGTGAGCTGCTTCTGCCGTGCTGGGAATCCCTGCTAGGAGATGGGCTGTGCACGTGCGACGCTGCTCTGCCCTGAAACGTGACTCAGCCACGCTGAGGATCCACTTCTTTAATTTTTCAGTGCTTCCAAGTTTACAAGAATACATTATTCTGTCAGCTGCTCCTGCAGGTGTGCTGTTTTCTTCTCATGTCGTTGGAGCAATAGAAGTTTGTGGATAGTCGTAGTGTCTGCGCTATGTGGATAGCACGCTAAGCCAGGACATGATAGAGGTGTGAGGGGCTGCAAGGTGACCGTGCTCCCTGTGCCTCTCTTTTGGTAGAGGTGATTGCAGTGATCAAGCTTCTTTGCAGACCATCTGGAGACTTGCTGGTAGAAAGACGAGAGGGGCACTCTTGTGTAGACCCATGCTTATGATGATGGTGAACCAGCAAACCAGCGGGCAGGATGGCTCAGTGTTCAGCCTGCCCTTCCTTCACCTGTCTGTCCTCTGTCCTTCTGCCACAGAAGGGCTCAGGTCTTACACGGGTAGGAAAGAGGTTTAGGACAGGGTGCAAAGTACAGCCTTCGTCATGGTCTAGTAACAAACTGGCTAGATGATTGTATACCCAGGGCTCTGCTGCAAAAATTAGATGGTCCTATGCAGATATGTCTTTGGATCCAGCACACAAACAAACAAACAAACAAACAAATGTATTAGAAACAGCTGGGGAATGGGATGAAAATGAACATTATTAGGGGTATGCTTATAATAAGTTATGAACTGGGGAATGCATCATTGCTGCCCTGGGTGCTCCTGGAGGCATATTTGCTGTTGCTTTTGGAGCCCTTGTTACTGCATTGGTTTTCCCATTTATGCATCCCTTCCCCCATCCCTCGCTGGAAAACCTGACAGCAAGCTCTGAGATGTAGCTGCTAACACGAGGATTTTGTCAGGAGCTGGAGTGACCTCTGAAAGCAGTGGCAGTGGCCTCGGCCTCATTTGTGGGTCATGAGCTGCCACTTGGGTGATCACATACATCACCCAGAGCGAGGGCATTGCTTTAGTCACTGATCTACCTTCAGAGTTTCTTCCCTTATCCCAAGGGAAGTTTTGCAGCTCTTGGGAGCTTTTGTTGATTCCTTGGCTGTAGGAGAGCTCACCATTTTCTAATTCATTTATCTCTTTGAAGTGTGACTGACCTGTCCTGGGGGATAGTGAGAAAGGTGAAATTATTTTGGTAATATTCACTAAGACTTCAGTTGTATAATGTCTACTGCACAGTTAGTGCCTAAGAATTGACTTTGCTGTTTCCCTGACAAATTTAACAAATATTGGCCAAAACTCAACTTGCACTGACACTGCTGATCTTGCAGCTGGAGAAATTTGGCCCAGTACTCCGGTGTCTTCAAGCCATCGTGATGTGTCTACCACATTGGCTGTTCTTGTTTGTTTCACGGTTGGATGAGATACATATATACAAAGCTGCTTAAATTCCAAACATCGCCTGTGGCTGAATGGTTCCTACCTTTGATGTGAGAGCTAACAACAGCCAGGGATCTGAGAGGTTATTCTTGTTAAGAGGATAAATTAATAGCAAAGCCTTGTGTATTTAACACAGAGTGCACAAAGTCCTGCTTACTTGAACACAGAAAGAGTTCAGCAACCAGGACTAGCTTTCCTGGTCCCAGAACACTTTACTGACACAAAGCACTCTTTAGGAGTCTCTCAGGACTGTGATTCGGTGCCTGTTCAAATTGCAGTTGCCTTGGTCTTGGCCTTGCATTGAATTACCTCACTCCTTTGTGTGCAGATTTTCACGAGCGTAGGCTCAGCTGGTGAGCTTGTTCCTCTTCTGGAGCTGAGTCGCACAGAGGTGACACCTGAGAGCATGCGGGGACACAGAGAGATAGTTGTAGCCATTGATCACCGGTGAGAGATGTATTTGCATGTACAGGACAGTCTGGTTGCACAAGCTGGCTGTGAATGGCAAATGCTACCTCATTTGCCATTAACAGTAACTCAACCGTGGTAATAATAGTACTACTTGTAGGTACACAGGTTCAGCTGTAGGTGAAAATGGCCATTATGGTCTTCATCCTGTTTGTTCCATGTGTCTGGATTGAACCACTGTACCTCTTCAGGCTGCATGATGGAAGAAATAGATGACAATTTATGGGGAGAGCTTTTATTCCCGTTCCCACTTTTGGACCCAGATGGTCAGGTGTCATCTGCTGTGGTTGGTAAGGAAGGTGTGATGGCTGAACCAATGTTGCCCTGTTTCTAGCCAGTCAAGAAAGCTGCTGAGTGAGAAGTTTCTCTTGCCCCAGTACCATCTCAGAGAAACACTGTTTGCTGCCCACCTGTGAAAGGCAGAAAGTAAAAATACAGGGTTTCAAATGTGTTGTACTCTTTGATGAGCTGCAATAGGTTTAAGGCCATATTGAAGATCACTCATGATGGGGATTCACTACCCAGTGATGGATGAGTTATTTTTCAGAGCAACAGCAAAGATGTCCTTCAGACCCACCTTTTGTTTTGTAATAGCACTGATGGAATAGCGGTGTCTGGCCTGCTGTGGGGTGATCTGTTACTGCTGGTCTTTTGCAAAACAGAAAGATGCTGCTGCTGGCTGAAACCATCAGCAATTCTTTTCCTAAGGCTTCTAGGAGAGTAAAAATCTGGGATTTTTTGGTGAACTTTCAGGAGGCATAAAATAATTTGGCACTGCAGGGAATGAAGGCAAATGATCTGTGCAGGTATATTTAACATATAATTAAACAGCACAAATACATGAGGGTGCGCTGTGGCTTCAAACCACTCCTTAGCCAGGGAGAGCTGTGGCTGGCTTGTAAGGAGCGTGGCCTCCCTCTGAGCACAATCCCCACCTTGACCCGTTCCGTCTCTAGCTTTGCTGTGTGCAGCAGAAAGGGGAAAAGGGGAAAAACCTTTCTAAAGCCAACCTCTCTGCAAATCTGTCTCAAGGGCTGATGTTAAATAGCTGTGTATGTACTGTAATGTTCCCTGCAATTTTGACTGGACTGTGTTCAAAACAGTGACAGGAGAAGGCTCCTGGCTTGGTGTGCAAGCTGGGCATCTCCCATGCTTGATAGCATGGGCTGTGAAAAAGGCAGGGGGGATAAATCTGGTTGGGTGGTGGGAAACCTGTTAACCTTTTAGAACTTCTGAAGGATAAAGTGATGAGCTGATTCTCTGTGTTTTCTTTTTACAAACACCTCCATTGATGCGAATGCTGTTGGTGTATCAGCCATTAGGGTCTGTTTCTCGGTGCTTTTATGTAATTTATAGACTTTCTCCAGTCTGATTTTGAGAAATATGGTGTGTTTGTGAAGCTGGGAGCAAGGACATACTCTCTTCTAATGTGGCTTTCCTATTTTCCTCTGTTTTGCAGGTTCTTTTCGAAATGATGGTTTAAAAGCTGCTGATGTCCTTCCTATACTGAAGGAGAAAGTGGCCTTCGTGTCAGGTGAGCACATCTTTTCTGGATCCCTCCAGCCCAGCATGAGCACTGCCTGCAGAATCCTGGTCATTATGGTGCTGCAGAGTCATGAGGGACCGTTTCATATTTGGAATTGGTAGTACTTAAATTAGCTCTTCTGCTAAGAAAAGGGCTGTATGTGGAACAGGGCTAGCCAGCTCTGAGCGTTGGAAACTGGCCCATGTTGATTTTCCTCATATTCTGAGAAACAGGCAAAAGGGCAGCACAGGTGGGATGAAATGCAGCTTCTCAGCTCCAGCCCAGACCTGTGCTGTCTCAGCATTTAGAATGGTTCAGGGATCCTGCTTTGGGTTCAAGGTCAGTGAATAGAATTAATTCCTATTTGTAAGAAGCACTCAGACCCATAAATCACTAGTGTTTCATTTGCAATACCAATCAACTTGCAGTTAAAAGTACCATTGATGCTGCATTTACATAATAACTCAGATGCTCAAAGATCTCCTGCCATCCTGTACAAAGATTTACAGCCTTCATTCAGGAGACAAATCTCAAGGACCTGGGGGTGGATGAGGACTAGACAATATGGAAAAGGCTTTGAGAATAGCTTGGATGATATTGTTTCTGGCGTGAATTACAACTTGTCAGGGAGAGGGGGAAGAGAAAGTCTGAAGTGATCACAATCTTGCATGAAGTCACTCAAACTGGCAGCATAAAAGCGGGGTATTTCCAGTGCCAGTGTCTCTGATAATTGCAAAGCATTTAGTCTGCTTTTGGTGATCTTCCCTCTTGCAATGAGAAAACCTGCATCAAAAATACCCATCTCCTTTATCTGCAGTGTAGGCTTTTTGTTTCCTTTGTCTCTGTGGTATTGCTGACTGCAGAGAGGAGGGGAGTAGCAGCGAGGCTGTTGGGTGCCCTGACTCTTCCTCCATGGCTGTCCCCCTGGGTGCTGGAGTGGGGCCCGTGAGGATGTGGCTCGTCACCCTGCCGAGCCATGGAGATGTCTAGCCAGGCAGGAAAAGCTTTTGCCTTGACAATGGTCGGTGTGAGGTGTTATCCTACGCAGCAACAGTTACACGGTCCAGGAATCACGAGCCCAGGAGTGACTTGGGCAAACTATTTGTGGCTCTATATGTCCTAAACTTAGGTGAAAACCCCAGATTATCCCATCAGTAATCACATGCAGGACTGCTTGACCTAGCACTCGTGTCTCATTCTGAATGTCCTGGAAATTTTTACATGGCTGTTGTCTTTCACTGCTCCGAAGAGGGGAACATAACCATAAAAACACAGCATACCTGCAGACTTGCTTGTGACACAAAGCTGAACTGGGCGCTCTGGGCAAGTGAAAGGGAGGAATTTATGCAGGGACTGTACTGGAATTTAGTTCTTGGCTCCTGCTGTTGCTTCGCATGGAAATGACTGCAAGATCATTTGGTAATTCATGGAATATTTAATAATGACAACCTGTCTGGATCGTTTATATAGCCCCTTCCACTGACGGTGCCTGCGTTTAGCTCTGAGCCAGAGGGTCTCACACCAAATCATCAGCTCATTAGATGCTGTCCCGGGCCAAGGCTGCCTTGTGGGGGGGCATTAAACGAGCAGTGCCAACACCATCCCCCAGGGTTTCTCATCGTGATCTACTGCAGGCAAGGGACAGCTTACTCCTTGTAGCCTCACCAGCCTCCAGACTTGTATCTACTCAAAATGTGTCTGCTCTTGACACAGCTAGCGAGATAGCAGTCCTAGGATACACACCTTCTCTCCATGGTCTCCAAACACAACGACTCTGGGCAGCAGTTGTCAGGGGCCTTTGCAGATAGAACGCTGTGAGCTGCTAGTGTCTGACTGCAATAGCCTCAGCACCAGCCTCCAGCCCAGAGTTTAAGTACTGCCCAGTCTTCCCCTGTGTAAAGCCGATTAAGAAAAGGGTTTGAGTGCTTCAACTGATGGCTACATTCTTTTAAATTAAAATGGAATAACTTCCCAGAGTATCCTTTGAGCACAGAAGTGAAAATGTTTGCCAAAACAGAAAAATCAAATGGCAGGACTTTGCAAGATTAAAAAAAAAAAACCACCCTTGCTCTGTAGTTAGTACAGATTCTGGGAGCACATTACGTTTGTAATCTGGCTTCCTTGAGGAAAAGGAGAGTTTTATTGAGACTTCTTCAGAGTTTTATACTACGGTTAATTTTAACGATAACAGTACAGTAAAGTTGTCAGGGGGGTTCTCCTTACACCAGCAGAATTTATCAGCATACACACAAAAAAACCTCAGCTGAACATCTCAGTTACATAGTTTCTTACTATGTAAGAAAGCTGTGGCTCACCAGTTTATTTTTCAGTCCGTGATTCCACATGAAAGCTGGAGAGAACAAACTCACTCCTTCAGGTAGGGGCTAGATCATGCTTTGTGTTCCAGTGTGGTGGATGCTCCACGCCTGGACCGTACAGAGGAGCAGGGCAGAAGAGACAGGGAAGTGACACCGGCTGCTGCCTGCTCCGGAGCAGGCACAACAGGGCCTGCCTGCACAGCCCCGGAATCTCAGAGGAGCACTCTGAGGAGCTCAGAGGAGCTTTCAGAAGTGCACTTAATTTTGGAGTTGAAATACAGCTCTAACTAGCTGGGCATGGATTCATCCAGCCTAAATGCCGTCTGGGGCTCTGTGCCTGGCGCTTCCCCTGGGTTGGCTGAGCCAGCAGCGAGCAGCAGGCACGGGGCCCTGCATCCGCATCCCTGCGCCGCGGGAGAGTTGAGGGGCGGATAATGTTGGGATTTTTTTTTTTCCTGGAACTGGTTCTTGATTTCTTCCAGTGATCTCATGTATGAGCTAGACTGAACCCGAGCAAAGTTCATGTGTGTCTAAACAGCACCTGAAAATCCCATTCCGGCACTCGTAAGCAGAGAGATGGCCTGAGCAGCGCGGTGCATCCCGGCCATCGCCGTCTGATTGCTTCCATCGCCGACCTCGTGAAGCAGATTAAGCAGGGGGTTGGCAGCGGGTGGAGGCTTTGGCTGCCTCCTTGTTGCCTAAACCCTAATAAAATCTTGGCTTTGCCTGGGTGGTTCATTGTGTTGCTTCCAGCAGTGGAATGGCTTTGGGAGCCATTAGGGAGCGAGCTACAGGCCAGAGACTGATTTTTGTATTTTGAGAAGGAGATGAGCGCAGAGGAGAGGAAATAAAACAGGTTGTAGATTATTTTAGGTGTTTTTTTTCAGTGAGAGGTGGTGAAATATTTTGGAAGCTGGGCTTATAGTCTTTCCTAGGAAACACAGATGCTGTTTTAGAAGGGTGGTTTAACTTAGGATGTTGTTCAGCCGCTTGATTATGTTTATAGGAGATTTTCTACTGATCAGTGCAATACAGGAGGAAGTGTATGAGGCTCTCAGAAGAGGGAGGCAAGCGTGTTAGTGTGTTCCCTTTCCGCTCATGGAGCTTTTCATACACTTAGGCTATGAAAAGCTTGTTAGTTGACTAATGCTGTAGGTCTCCCTTGAAAGCATTTGCCCTTTCCCCACGTCCCACCCAAAAGAGTTTCTCAGGATCCTTCCTGGCACTTCCCATTCCCTGGAGGGCTCAGAAGAGTGACAGCGCGTGGGCTCCCTCCTGTCACCCAGGTACCGTCTGCTCGTCTGCCGAGGCAGGAGTACAAAGGAGGAGGCTGGGCAGGTTTCTGAGAGGGTGGTTGAGCACGGAGGAATCAACAGCAAAAGGCAGAAGGGTGTAATAAGCTGGTGAGCTGCTGCAGCTGTGACAAGCTGAGCTCCCAACGTGTTCAGCAAAGCAGGAGATTTTTCTGTGGACTTTGGGCAACAAAAGGCACAGAGCAGGGAGCAGTGGATGAGGTAACAGGTCAACCATCTCCATCTTTCAAAAGCCTACTGTCCCCAACCCCAAATGTCTCAGGAGCAGCCTCAGGAGCTAGGTCACAGCAATGTCTGAGCCTCCGAAGGAAAAACAGAGAGAGAGATTTCCTGAAAGGTCTTTCAGAGGAGGAATTTCAGTGTAAATAGATCAGATGAAAGGACAACTTTGCAATTAGGTTTCACTGAATTTAGGCCAGCAGGATGAATCAAAGACAAAGGCTTAGAGGGGAAGATGCTCACTTTCCCAAAAACTTGTCTAAAGATATCACAGACCACTTAGTGCCAGAGGTACTCAGAACCGCGTGTGATGGGGCATGTTTTTTCTCTTTCTGTGATGGATGCACTTCATTCTTCAGAGAATGGGTTGAAATGAGACCCCAGAGCCCTCTGGGCACTGGAATAGTTTAGATCCAGGTTTCAGGGAATCTCAAACACTGATTTGTGGACACTAGAATTTTTATTGGGTTGGGAATAGAACTTACGAAAATATTTAATTTTTGAATGGTGTAAACATTTTGTATTTGCACAAAAAGTTTTGATTTAAATTAAAAGTGTCCATTCTTCTCTTCTTCTGGAATGGAAATTTCAAATGAAACATCAGCAATTCTATATTTTGTAAGAGAAACATATCTTGCGTTTTATAACATTCCCTGGTATAGTTTGTTATCAACGGAAATTCCAAAAAGAGGAAATATGCTATTAGAAAAACATAGCATTGCTTGACTATTGAATTTTCCTAGTGGTTTTGGGCCATCATGCTTTCATCTAGAATTTGCTAGTGCATTGATGCAGACTTTTCTTTGAAGAAGAAAACAAGGAAGTTTAGACTGTAAAGTTTCCAGGTCTTTTGATGAGGTCTAAGATTGCTGCTTTTTTTTTTTCCTGTTAGTTTTTTTTCCTTTTGTTTTTCAAGAGTGTAGGTCATTTATGAGGATAGAAAAGAGCCTTTACCTATAGGAGCTGTTTAGATATCCTCATCGGGACTCTAAGGTTAAAGCAGAAATCAAAATGTTTCCTGGGATTTCTGATTGTATTTACAGATTTTAACTGTAGTGTGAAGAATCAGTTGCCATATTTCTTTCCATACATTTAACCATAGCCATGGACTAAATTAAACTATTTCTGTGGAGAATGTCTAGTTACTGCCAGCACATAC